AGACTACCAGGTATTTGGTAGGGAGTACCCTGGTATGGAAAGGAAGAAAAGGAAGGAGAAGGGAGAGGAAAAACTCATGCTATAATACAGGCCCCACAGCTTCAGCCAACCCCATGGGGAAGCTCTGGAGTGCAAATGACCCACCATAATTGCACCGTGTGGGGCTGAGAAGGCCAACCCTTTGCATCCCCTTGGTCATTGGGGGGTGCGCCACTCTCCCGCTTTCCAGTCTTGGGCAAAGTGGTTCTCTGCAGCTGAGGCAAGCCATGAAGTGGTTGAGAGAGAAGGCTGTCCACTGAACACACTCCCAGAAGCTGGTACAACAGATTCTTCCTTGAAAGGACATCAGGTGGCACATGTCCGTGTTCAACACAGAACGGTAGTTTGTACATATAGTTGCTTCAATAAAAGAAAGTGAGGTTGACTAAGAATGAGAGTAGGATGGTGAAGATGAATGGGAAGAATAAACCATGGAAAGAAAGAGCTATTTGCATGTGATGAAAAAGCTTTCTTGTTTTTTTGTTTTTTTTTTGAGATGGAGTTTTGCTCTTGTTGACCAGGCTAGAGTCAATGGTGCGAACTTGGCTCATGGCAACCTCCGCCTCTTGGCTTCAAGTGTTTCTCCTGCCTCAGTCTCCCGAGTAGCTGGGATTACAGGCATGTGCCACCATGCCCAGCTAATTTTGTATTTTTAATAGAGACAGGGTTTCTCCACGTTGGTCAGGCTGGTCTTGAACTCACGATCTCAGGTGATCTGCTTGCCTTGGCCTCCCAAAGTGCTGGGATTACAGGTGTGAGCCACTGTGCCCAGCCGGAAAAGCATTCTTTAAAAAAATATTAATTAAAAAAATTTAATGAAAAATTATTTAAAAACTTTTAAATTTTATAAGAACTAAAGATGGGGTCTCACTATGTTGCCCAGGCTGGACTTAAACTCCTAGGTTCAAATGATCCTCCCATCTCGTCCTCCCAAAGGGCTGGGATTACGGGCATGAGCCACTGCACCCAGCCAGGAAAGCTTTCTTATTCTTTATAATACTCCTGGTTTGGGGCAAGGATGGATTCTGGTAACTGTAAGGCCTTTTGTTTAATAAACTTTGTGATGGGTTAGGGTTCATAATGGAGGTGTAAGAGGGGAAGGAAGACCAAGTTCTCTGCCTAACAAGGGTCACCTAAGAGGCTGGAAACAGGAACCATCATAGTTGATGCCACACAGGAAAAGGGGAAAGAACTGTTGGTGATTAAGGGTTTTGGTAAATGAGGCTGGGCGTGGTGGCTCATGCCTGTAATCCTAACACTTTGGGAGGCCGAGGTTGGTGGATCACCTGAGGTTAGGAGTTCAAAACCAGCCTGGCCAACATGGTAAACTCTGTCTCCACTAAAAATACAAAAATCAGCCAGTGTGATGGCACATGCCTGTAATCCCAGTTACTCTGGAGACTGAGGCTGGAGAATCGCTTGAACCTGACAGCAGAGGCTGCAGTAAGTCGAGATCGAGCCACTGCACACCCACCTTTGTGACAGAGCGGGACTCCATCTCAAAAAAAAAAGAATTTCGGTAAATGAGAATGGCTAACATTTTACCCCTTTGACATGGTCAGCACTAAGTGCTTTGCATGTGTGAACTCAATCCTCACAACACTATAATAGTTACACTATTTTCCCCATTTTTAGAGACAAGGAAACTGAAGCATAAAGAGCCTAAGTTGCTAGTGCCATTCAGTGAGAAAGGTGTGTAGCTGAGATGTGGCCCCAGGCAGTCAAACTCCAACCTGTAGGGCCTGCACCCTTAATCATACCGTCCCTCATTACAGTAAGGATAAGGATGCTTCTGTTTTCTGTGGGATGTGTTGTGTACTATCACCAGTTTTCCTTCTGCAGGAAATTGCCAATGCTCCGGATGCAAATGGGTTTTTTCTTAGGAATTCACAGTTGCTGAGTTTTGCATCAAGACTGAGAGAGGCCTAAAACACACTGTATGGTAAGCAGGGACAGTTAACCAACCCCTGGATTACATGTAAGCATTTTGAAAAAGATTAACTGTGAGTCAACATTGCGGTAAATTTAGTTGTAAAAGCCTGATTACGTATGCAAATATGTGTCAACAGGTAGGACTGTGTGATGACTCATCCTACTCAAAATTCTCTAGACTCTTGCTTTGTGCAATATTGGATTCTACAATGGTGAGCATGGGAAGAAAAGTGTTTAAAGGAGAGCCACAGATAAGAATATACAGGCTGAATATAGCCTGCAAAGAGCATGAATAGATGGAGGCTTCACGCTCCTTCCCACATGCATTGTCCTATGCATCTCTTCATCTGGTGTTCATCAGTACCCTCTGTAATATCCTTTATAATAAACTAGTTAATGTAAGTACAGTCATGTGTCACTTAATGAAGGAGATACGTTTTGAGAATTGTGTTGTTACTGGGCGTGGTGGCTCATGCCTGTAATCTCAACACTTTGGCAGGCTGTGGCGAGAGAACTGCTTGAGCCCAGGAGTTTGAGATCAGTCTAGGCACATAGCAAGACTCCATCTCTATAAAAATACATACATACATACATATATAAGAGAATTGCTTTGTTAGGCAATTTCGTTATTGCGCAAACATCTTAAGAGTGTCCTTCCACAAAGCTAGATAGCATAGCCTACTACACACCTAGGCTATATGGTATAGCCTATTGTCTAGGCTGCAAACCTGCATGGCATGTTCCTGTACTGCATACTGTAGGCAACTGTAACATAATGGCAAGTGCAGTTGGCACTGGAACAACTGGGGGATTAGGAGTATGACACCCACACAATCAAAAATCCACGTATAACTTTTGGCTTCCCCAAAACATAACTACTAATAGCCTGCTGCTAACTGGAAGACTTACCAGTAACATAAACAGTTGATTAACACATACATCATATACTATGTCCTTATAATAAAGTAAGGGAGAAAATAAAATATTAAGAAAATCCTAAGGAAGAGAAAACATATTTATTGTACTGTAATGATCAATACTGCAGGTTTAGGGTTGGTTAAATGCCTCTCCATTCTGAAATGGCAGGCAACTGCAGCTACAGACCTCAATCTAAAATACTTACCAAGCAATTCAACTTTTTCTTGTAGTGTCATTTTTTTTCCTCTGCTTCTTGGGAGCATTTCTAGCAACCCTGGTGGCACTTTGTATGGGGCTCACGGTGTTATTCAATGTTTAGGATATTGCATTAAACATGATGAAAACGCAAGAAATGTGAGAGATTGATTTTTACTTCAATAAGCAATTTACTGGAGCAAAGGACTGCTCCCATGGAGATGATTAGCTCATAGGGTGTTTTAAGTGGATACTCTAAACACTTGAGTTCTGCCGTAATAGCAACAGGAGGTGGTTACAAAATTATTTCAGTGGAACAGTATGTACTACAGTTAATTTTATACAGTTACTTTTTGTAATAATTAATTTAAAAATTTTGTTCTTTCCATAGCTTCAGTGGTAAAAGTGGTTTTTTGTTACATGGAAGAATTGTATCCTGTTGAAGTCTGGACTTTTAGTATATCCATCATCTGAATAGCATGCATTGCACCCATAATTTTTTCTCAGTTATGGTTTAAAACTGCATTTTTACATTTTTAAATATTTATCTAGACTGTATATGGTACAGCGTATGGTCTATGTTTGTGTGCATAGGTTTTGATAAATTTTAACTTTTTGTAATAGATTTGTGTATGATAGTAAATGATAGACTCGTATCTACATGTATTTTATGCATTCTTGACATACCTTTTTCTTTTTTTTTTTTTTTTTTTTGATATTTCTAGTCTATGAGGTTCATCTGGTTTTTCAAATTGTTCCAAATCTCCAAAAATGTATCCAATTCATTTACTGAAAAAAAATATCCACATATAAGCAGGCCCACACAGTTCAAACCCATGTTGTTCAATGGTCGACTGCATTTGTGTATCTAAACATACCTAAACATAGAAAAGGTACAGTAAAAATACGATATTATAATCTTATGGTATCACTGTTGTCTATGCAGTCTGACATTGAAATGTCATTATGTAGGGCATGACTGTATAGGTATCCCTGAGTTCTGTGAGCCTCTCTAGCAAATAATTGGAGCCCAAGAAGTTAGGGTTATGGGAACCCTAACTTATAGCTGGTTGTTTAGGAGCCTAGGTCACCATCTGGGGCTTCTGACTGGCATCTAAAGTGCAAGCCATTTTGAGGGACTGAGCCTTCAACCTATGGCATCTGAGGCTATCTCCAGGTAGCGTAAGAAGTGAATTGAATTAGAGGACACCCAGCTGGTGTCTGCTGTAGTACTGCTTACTTGCTTAATGTGTGGGGAACCTCCCCCAACATGCATCTGGAGTCAGAAGGGTATCATAAAGTGGAGCATAAACTGGGAGAAACTGAATTTGTTTATTCCTACATTCAGAATGGGATCCTCGAGTACACCATAGCGGTCGGATAGACGTTCTGAAGCCAGACTGCCTGGTTCCTCTCCCTGCTCCATCACTTCGATTGCTACTTTAGCTCACTGTGCTTCAGCTTCCTATTAAGTTGGGATAATCATACCACCTCACAGAGTAACAAGAATGAAATCAGTTAATACACATAAAGCACTTGGAAGTGTTCAGAGCAATTAATAAATAACAGCTGACAAAAAATAGACTGCGGAACAACTTGATACATATTCAAATATATATTATACATAAAGACCTTTATGTAGATATTTTCCATATTTGTTGTAGGGAAAACAAGAGGAAGTCAATTAAAGCTAGGAGAGATCTGGATTTTACGCAATTAAAAAAAAGAACAGATTAAAAATTTGCCCATTAAGAGATGTAATTAACTCTACAGAGGGCTGTATATCATGCAGTAGATTCTGTAATTGAGTTTAGCCTAAGAATGGTATTCTCTAAAAGTGGAAAAACAATCCCGAGAAAATCAAGTTTGAATCTAGTGCCTGGCCACCTACCACCTCATTTGCCCAAGAAACATACTGAAAACTAAAGCGTGGTGTTCTGTTGTGGGACTGTTGCGGGGCTTATAACAAATTAACAAGTGCTGATGTATGTTCAAATAGTACCTGAAGTTTTGATAACTATCTCCCTTGTTTAGGCTAGAGAAACAGAAGCTATGGGAAGAAATCACATTTATAGTAGACCCATGACCAGGACTCAGATTTTAAAACTTTAAAATGTTTCCATTACCTTTTTATTTCCCTTTGTTGGGTTTTTTTTAAAAAGCTAAAATAAAATGACTTAATCACATAGCACATATTACATATAAAAGGACTTTATATAGTTGAAGAAGTATTCAGTTGTTCTTTAACACATCTGCCCACTTCTTGGCCTGACCTCAGGAAACTACCCTCCTGCAGCCCAAACCCCTGGTCCCTGTTAAAAGGGTGACCTAGGAAGCTACGTTTTATCATGCATTCTTCTCAGGAATCCTTCAAACACTGAATTGAGCCATTAAAGTCATCTTTTTGGCATTTAAGTCACAAGGGGGAAGTTGCCAATTGGGTAGGCAGCAATAGAGACAAAGGGAATGGCTGCTGGTCTCCATACGAAACCAGTCTTCACGGTTCCCATATTTTCTTGTCTTGGAGTCTGAGATGTTTATTCTTGCAATCTTTACCCTAGCCCTCCTTTGCTCATTTCCTGGTTGGGCAGGGTTTTTATTCTTTACAATCAATTCTTGACTAAACATGTGTGGCTCTACTTCAAACTAAAAGTCAACATATTGACATGAAGAGATAGGAATTCAGTCTATCACTTTGTGCTTAGTATTTGGGGAGACGGTAAATGAGCTAAACAAAATGAAGAGAACTTTTCAGCATTTTTTTTTTTTTTTTTTTTTTTGAGAAGGAGTTTCACTCATGTTACCCAGGCTGGAGTGCAATGGCGCGATCTTGGCTCACCGCAACCTCC